TTTTTTGCGGCCCACAAACTTAAACCTTGTTTATTTGGCCAGTGCCAGACTGAGTTTGGCATGCTTGTTCTAGAGAGTGCCTTCTACATATTACTTTGAGTTCTAATGGTTACCCCTTTCTTAGACAGGCCCACTTGTTCACCAGACACCATTTATTTAATCACAGCAGCCCCTGGCACTTTTTAGATTCAATTATAATAGAAATAAAAAAACAGGACCCAAAACCTATTATGCGTTATTTAAAAGACAAAATACATATATAATATAAAAAGGTAGCACAGTAGGAGAACGTCCCTGAACAGGAAAAAGTGAGAGATCACTCGACTAACCTTCTTGCACAAAGTACTCTTGCGCATGTTCGAGAGCACAACACTGAGTTTTATAGGGGATCTCCCGATGATGTCTTGTGATGAGCAGGACGATGCCTGAATCCAGCCATCACTTGGATTAGAAAAAAAAAAAAAAAAATGGACGGCGGAGCTAAGACTTTAGTCAATTTTTGTATTACAGCTCTTGGTGTGATATTAATCAGCGCCTGATCACATCTGAGCTCTTAAAAGGGACAAAAAAAAAAAAGACAAGTTTTCTCATTACCAGCACATTTATTCCACATACTGCTGGGTAGGACTTTCTAGGCCCGCCAGACTAGACGCACAAATCACGTGCAACACTCATGAAATTCCGTATAAACTGTATTGCCAGAGATCCCGGCCTCCTTACCCCTGCATAAGTAACAATATACACATGGCACATTCCCCCCCATACAGCTCCAGTCATAGACCAGGCTCCTTTAATTAATCACAGCTGCAATAACACTGCTTGCTTTCCCCAGCTCTGTGACCAGGGTGGGGGGAGAGAGGGGAAGCCTAGTACCCAAGGGCAGGAGATTTAATGGGTCACTCCCACTTTCACCCCCTCCCCCATTGTATCCTTATTTAACCCCTGGCATTCCAGACAAAAAGGTAAATGAAAATCAGGGTCCAGGAGACAGATAGTTAAGGCAAGTCACAAATAGCTAATCGCCTTAATGTGATACCTATATTCTAATTTCCCTTATTAGTTTATTGACTAAACTGGGAATTCTAAAAAGGAAATAAATTTTAAAAAAAAATGAAAAAAACTAAACTTTTTTTTTTGTCCTAAATTGAACGGCTGAAAAATTTCTTGGGAGGCTGAAGCCTTTTCTTAGCTTATCTACTTCAGCATAAAACGTGCAATTTGCTTTTTATTTCTCCAAATTTTTCAGTTTAACCCTTTAACGACCAAACTTCTGGAATAAAAGGAAATCATGACCTGTCGCACATGTCATGTGTCCTTAAGGGGTTAATGAATAATAAGCACCATCCCAGGGAAGGACGAAAATAATTTAAGAATTTACATTTTTTTTTTTTGTTGCAGTTTTTATTTTTTCAATTTAGCTATTTAGACACTTAAATAACCTAACTAACCATAAACCTATAAACCCTTAATTCTAACCAATACTCTCTTGTCCTTAGCACTAAATTTCCCTAACTCTAAATTTCCATAAACTCTGTCATTCATATTCCTAAATACACAGCGTTCAACCCGAACATTCTATCCATAACCTTAAATCCCTCCTTAGCAACCGCTATCTCGAAACCGAACCTACTAATCTTATAGGAACACTATAATGTTAGGAATACAAACGTGTATTCCTAAAACTGGAGTGTACTGCTACCGGCTTAGATTACTGCCCCCTCCTGGTGGAGTAAAAAATAAAATAAATACAAGTTTAACTTCCTTTACAACCCGCGTCTCCCTGGCTCCTCTGGCAATTCAATGCTTCCACATAGAGAAGCACTGGGAGACTTGTGTGCATGCGCCACAAATTGCTGCGCCAGTCTGCAACGCCTCAGAGATGTTTGAGTAACTGCCACTAAAAAAGGGGTTCGTAGGCAGAAATGGAAATACTGCCTTTTCTCTGAAAAGGCAGTGTTTACATTAAAATGCCAGCATAGACAGACTATACTTACCAGAATAAATACAATAAGCTGTGACAATAGTGCCCATTCAACTCTAAAATCCTCCTATTCAAAACACCAACTATTTTCCCCCTAATTTTATAATTTCAAAAAAAATTGGCATTTTTATAATTGGGAACAGAAACACCTTCGGTTTTTGGCAGTTTTTGTTGATGTTTTCAAAGATCATTCTCTAACATTTTAAAATAATACAACCGAGTGGGCAGTGCATTGGTCCCAAATTCAGTCACTTGGGAGTTTTCAGAACACTCGTCAATGAACTTGGAACAATATCGGCTAACAGGACTTTTGGCATTGAAACTGGTAGAGAAGTAGTTCCTGATTGTTAGTGAGTTTTATCAAATCTCAGTCTTACATTTGAGGTTTTGGGAGTCAGAGCTCACAAATATTGGAGATACAATGCATAGCCATTGCTGCCGTACTACTACACCAAAATGGATCATTTGTGGTCTGTTCTGACCGTACCTTGGTTATTGGGTAAAGACAGAGGGATATATTTGAACAAAAAGGAGTAAGGAAACCTGTGAGCTTTAATGTAACAGTTGTTGCACTTTCCCGGTAGGGCTGTTACTACCGATTACAGGCCTCAACTTTGATTTTTTTTCAATTCATGAAGGCCTCTGAAAAATCTATTGATTTATCTTAGTGGTTAGTGTACTAGCTACAATATCTCTATCATATGTTCAAACCTCATTGTCACAGGTTTCATCTTTCGGTTATTAAAAGAAGTTCCAGTGAGTTTGACAATGTCATTTTCCCCAAATGATAGATCAGACGTTGCCTGCAATTTACATTTTGTTGATTGCACACCTGAGGAAGGCACAATGTCATTCAGAATGTATTAAAATCCCCCTAAGGACACATGACGGAAATATTCCGTCACAATTCGCTTTTATTTTAGAAGCTGTGTGTTTAAGGGGTTAAAATATGTTTAGACTTTACCGGCTTCTTCACTAAAGAAATAATTCAACGTGAATTAGAAATTCGAGGTAAAAATAGCTGAATTGGAAATATTCTCTAAGAAAACAATGTACAGTGTCAGCTCTGCAGGGTTCCCATCGACTAACATTTTAGTGAAAAAAAAAAACCAGTCTAAAGGAGACAATGCAGTTTATTCACGATAACACGGAACAGCAGTGATTTGTAACCTAAATTGCAACATTTTGGCAAAAAGTACTGATTTGAGAAATTCCACAATTTTGTTTTTGTGTCAGTTTAGCTGTTTGACCTACATTCTGCAAGCCGGGTTTAATTTTCCTGTAATTTGGTGTAATTTAGTGTGTCTGTTTAATTTGGCGTTGAGTGGTTAATAGATATAAAAAATAAAATAAAATAAAAAAAAGCTTAATTTCTATATAAAGGCATAAATCAGCAATTCATAAACAGTTGAATTGAAACAGTGTTAACACCAAGATTGGCAAAATAATTAAGTTTAAGATGTCCACTATAGCTGCCTGCGAGAAACTGGTAGAGGTCCCCTTAATAACGTGTGGTCCCTGCTAACACATTCATTCATGTTATGGGTGAAGGATTCAATTTAGATTCTGTACCAAGGGTTCCTTATAGAACTCCTGACACTATAGATGACACCCCCAGGAAAGTAATGGCTGGGACTGGCAAGGATAGGATTGTTTAAAAAAAAAAAAAAAATTAATAATACAATGAAATGTTCCATTAACAATTTTGTAGGTATTGCCAGTAAGAAACCATGCATGTAATTTTCTTTTAATACAGGTTTTCTTTGGGGCATATGAAAATAGCAACTTGCAAAAGCTGCAGACAGCATTCCACCGTGCCAGAATATATACCAATCAGGTTTCCAATTGAGCAGTCTATGCTGGATGACTGTGCGCTAACCCGGAAAAAACATCCATGGCTGTCTAACAGCAAGCCGAAGTATTATATCTTTCCTGTTCCTTTAAGATATCCATTTAGCAAAGACTGCATTTACCATGATGCCCGTGAAGGTTTAGGTAAGCGAAGCATCGTGGGAAACAACGTGGTTGACAGACATGTTCAGTGTCACCCACCATCCTCCTTATTAAAGAACAGAGTTCTTCTGTGGAATGCGGGAGAAGTAATGGGTATGGACCTGCATGTCTACCAACTTCTCAAATATAGTGGGAGGGATTATGATGGGGGCATACAACCTCCCAAGTTATTGGTGGGGTCCTAGGGACCAAGTGCTTTCAGTTTGGTTGAGATTTGATTTAAAGTGAACTCCTTTAATACACACATATACACACACACACCCCCCAAAATTATAAACGCAACACTTTTGTTTTTGCCCCCATGTTTCATAAGCTGAACTCAAAGATTTCTAAGACATTTTCTATGTACACAAAAGGCCTACTTCTCTCAAATATTGTTCACAAATCTGTATTAGTGAGCCGAGATAATCCATCGACCACACAGGTGTGGCATATCAAGATGCGGATTAGACAGCATGATTATTGCACCTGTGTGCCTTAGGACATTAATTTTGAACTGCAACTCCCAAAGAGCTCAGCCAGCCACACTTCCCTCCCCCCCCCATTAGGTTGATAGCTGGACATAGACTTTAACCACACTAGTACAGCTACAGTTACTAGCGTATTAACTCAGATCACTGGTCTAAATGTCTAGTCATGGCTCTAATTTCAGGATTCCAGCAGTATGACCTTTCACTGTATTTATTCCTGTTTTTGTCCCCCATACTTTTAGATTGTAAGCTCATTTGGACAGGGCCCTCTTCACCTACTGTTCCCGTATGTCAAGCGTGAATTGTTTATCTTGTTAATAGTATTGTACAGAGCTGTGGAATATGTTGGGGCTATGTAAATAATTGTAATACCAGACCCTGTGCTTGAGTCAATAAATGTGAGGTTAATCCATAACTTTCAAAATGTACCAGATTGCAAAATTAAGGGTAAAATTACAAAGCCACAACTAAAGCAGAGTTTAATAATTTTCACAAACCATCTTACAATGTGTTTTAACCCCTTAAGGACCAAACTTCTGGAATAAAAGGGAATCATGACATGTCACACATGTCATGTGTCCTTAAGGGGTTAAGGACTTGGATTGTTTAATAGGTAAAGAGGCAGGGTAGTGCTCCTTTAAGAGAAATGTCTACAATTTGACACATTCAAAACACAGTATGAAATGGTGTAAACTAAAATGGATCTCCCCAGGCTGCAAAAAAAGGAAATCCTTCGCTCAGATGTTCTCTGAAAATATGCAGACTATTTATTATATGTAATTATTCAATCAATTGCGGTATTCAGAAATGTAGATGGTGCCCTGTCACATCCATGGAAAAGCTGTGACCGGGGCCTGGCGGACCACAGGTATGTCGTGAAACCATTCTCAGATGGACTGACTACTTACAGTGAGAAGACGGAAAGGGCTGGCGGGGCACCATTGCTACTACAGAATGGTGTGGTGGTAATGGTACGTGGAGTGTGCCATTTAAGAAGAAACAGGCATTTTGATTTGTATCTTGTAGGAGGAAAATACATTTGAGGTCCATTTATATAACCAGGTTTATTCGATTTTTCCCGCAATTTTGGCTTAAATGTGTAATTCGAATTGAATTCCCAGCAATTCATACTTTTAGTGAATAACCTGGCATAAAAGGATCAAAACTGTGCCCAAGGCATAGTAAAATAAAAATGTTTTGGTAACACCTTTGGGCTCAAAAAAAACAAACACAAAACTGATGAGCGCAAACAACAACATGCATTATTAGAAATCAAAAATTTATTTGAAAAAAGTACAAAACTATTGGAATTTAAATGAACTTTATGCATTACTGCAGCCTTCTTAATGTAATTTTAGTAAAGATTTAACACAGATCCATAAATTGTTCTTCAGTTTAATATAGTTTTTTTTTTTTAGTTTTGTTTTTTTTTTACACAATAATGGGCCAATTTTTAAATTTGTCTGTATAAAGTTGCATTTAAAAAGGGACACTATCGTCACCAGAACAACTACAGCTTAATGTAGCTGTTCTGGTGAGTAATGGTTCCCTACAGGCTTTTTTCATGCAAACACTGCCTTTTCAGATAAAAGGCAGTGTTTACATTGCCTTTAGGAACACCTCCAAGTTACAACTCCTTAGATGGCCACTGGAGGAGCTTCCTGGGTCAGTCCTGCCGAAAAAGCAGCCCTGACGTTCAGCGTCCCCACGCTCTCCATGAAGACGCTGAATATTTTGCATTGAGATGCATTGATTCAATGAATCTCTATGAGGAGGTCCTGATTGGCCAAGACTGCATTTGGCCCACCCCTGTGCCGAGCATTGGATTGGCTAAAACGTCCATTTTGATGATGTCACAAAAGGGGCAGAGCCAGCGCAGCACTGGAAATAAAAGTGAGTTTTAAACTTTTATAGGGGGGCTAAGCCACCTAAATGGTGGGTTAAACACTATAGGGTCAGGAATACAGGTTTGTGTTCCTGACCCTATAGTGTTCCTTTAAGTATTAATACCAACAGCCAGTAGAGGTTTGCGGATACAAAATATCATCAGGTTTCCATGGTCCACGCCCATGTTTTTAACGACTACACACTGCTCATGCCTGCCTCCATTGATACCTACCAGCCTCTGGTTAGTGTCTGCATTTTTTACAAGATAGAGAAAAAAAAAAAAAAGTTCAATAAGAGCACGCACACTTCTTTACTGCAACTGAGCACGAGGTGCCCTTAAGGTGTAGTAAATTTACTGAAGTAAAAAAATATGAAGTCGTTATGGTGCCAGGAGGTCGCCAGGCAATTTTTACCTGCAGGGGCTAAACCGTTCAAGAAAGGTTTCTCGCCAAACGTTGCCTACAGCGCCAGATATCCAATTCCTCCAGCGGCACCTGGCTTCTTAAATTGACTTTCAGGAAGCACAGAGTGCCACCGGGCAGGGGCGCCACTGACCAGATAGAACGGTGAGCTGACGCTCTATACAAACATTAGCTCCCCTTTATGTGAATGGGGAGCTACTGTTGGCTTAGAGCGTTCGCTGTCCGTTATAGCCAGTCAGCGGCTCCCCAGCCTGGCGGCACCCCGCACTTCTTGCTTCCTGAAAGTCAATTTTAGAAGTCAGATGCCGCTTGGGGAACTGGAGATGGAGGCAAACTTTGGGGTTAAACCTTTCTTGAATGAGCTCTGCAACCTCCTGGCACCATAACTTAATATTGATGAAGTTGCTATGGTGCCCAGAGTATTTCTTTAAATGTACTTTGAATTCTAACTTGAGTGAATAACTCTGTAAAATGAGAGCAGTCAATTACCAGTCATTAAACAGATTTTTTTTGAAGAATTGAAACAGCTGCTAGTCCCCAATTTTACAGACAGACATTTCTGAAATTCTCTGGCAAAATTATAAATATTGAGCAATTAGCTGGAAAGTCTCCTGGGTTTCCACTCCAGTTTTAAAATATCATCCCATAAATGTTCTTTTTACATATACTTAATCATTTAAACTTTTCTACCATGCAACTCCATTAATATGACATTAGCCTTGGGGAGAGCCACTTTGAAACGTGGTAACCTATTCAAGTACCATTACCCTATAAAAATACAAGAACGTAAAAAGAGAGATAGAGAATATATATATATATATATATATATATATATATATATATATATATATATATATATATATATATATATATATATATATATATATAAAAAAAAAAGTTACAAAAAAAATAATAATTCATGAATAGATCACAAAACATCAAAAATGTACTGGATTGTTCTTAACAAAAAATATTGTATTTTTATTTCAAAAGGGAACCCAAAACAATAACATTACATAGAAATAAAACATAAAAAAAAAAACCACATCATTATTTTAATTATATTTCTCCAAAAATTATAGGAGACAAAAGCTGGGCCTTAGTGATTCACCTAGAGGGCAAGTAAAGCTTGCAAAAATGGTGTAGAAATATATAAAAAAAAAAAAAAAAAATTAAAAATCCCTCTTTAACACTTAAATTCCAGTTTACTGAAAATCTGTACCACAAACCCAGCATCACTAGGTAAACATATATATATAAAAAAAATAAAACAGAACAAAACAAAACCACTAACCTAACTGGAATTTAGAAAAGGTGTTTAAAAATTGTTTTTTTTAAATCATGCATTATAAAACCAAAATTGGGAGAAGGGTATAAAACGTGTGCTTTTTTAGGAGAATGGTAACATTATAAACAAGGAATCTTAACTGCAGATACACATCCCCCACCCCCCAACCAAAAATGGGGCCATGCTAGGCACAATTAGAGCAGCGTCTGTCTCATAAGAACTTCTCACACACACAAAATTAAGATGAATTTCCAATGTTTTTTGGTTGTCCCTTCCCTCTCCCCCCCCCCCAAAAAAATGTAATATGGAAAGGAGAAAAAGAATAAAAATAAAATAAAAGTACAAATCCCAATATTTAGCTGTGACATTGAACATAAAGCAGAATGGAAGTACCCATCAACAGCCAAGATAAAACAGACCGAAGTCTATATCAATCCATTTTAGAGAAAGTACTGCCAACTAAGAGTTGAAGAAAAAGGTATGGAGGGAGGAACGGCTGAATCTTCTCATGTCTACGAAAATCTTCTGCAATTCATTTTTTTAGCCCAATACTTTAAATAGAAATATATAAGAAATTTACAAAACTGCTATTTACAGTCTTAATTACAGCTCCAGGAGAAAGATTCACCTAAGGTACCAAATGGAGAACTACACAGACCAAAGTCAAATCCCGAGGAAGTGGGATGAAGTTTAAAACATGGCTGAAGAGTAAACAACGGTAGTCTACGTAGTAGGGTGGGATGGGTCCCACCACAAATCCAAAGCAATCCTTAAACTGTAGTCTCCCCATGTTTGCTGTTGGTGAGTCTTGTGTAAAACTTTCTCCATGAGTGTAGAGTCTTCCCTGACCAAATCCAAAAGCCAGAAGTAATGCCAACAATGAGAGTCATGAGATATTTGATCATGTAGACCGTAAAGTCGGGGGTCATTCTTGGGGTGTATTGGAGAGGGCACGGGATGGCAAGGCTCTTGCAGTTTTGGCTCACCCAGCTACGTTCCCAATGCTCTCTGAAAGCTTGCTCATAGAAGTAGCATGCAATGACAATTGTGGCAGGAACCGTGTAGAGGACACTGAAAACTCCTATGCGAACCATAAGTCTCTCCAGCTTCTCTGTCTTCGTACCATCATGCTTCATAATTGTTCTTATCCTGAACAGAGATACAAAGCCAGCCAGAAGGAAGGATGTTCCAATAAAGAGGTAGACAAAAAGAGGTGCCAGCACGAATCCTCTCAGCGGGTCAATGCTATTAAGTCCTACAAAACAGACACCACTGAGAAGGTCTCCATCTATCTGACCCATAGCCAAAATGGTAATAGTCTTTACTGCTGGCACTGCCCATGCAGCAAGGTGAAAATATTGAGAGTTTGCTTCTATTGCTTCATGGCCCCATTTCATTCCAGCAGCCAGGAACCAGGTAAGAGAGAGAATCACCCACCAGATGGAGCTAGCCATGCTGAAAAAATAAAGCATCATGAAAAGGATAGTGCATCCTTCCTTCTTGGTTCCTTGCACCACAGTTTTGTAGCCATCATCTGAGAAGGCCTCATTGCACACCACTTTGTCCTGAAGAACAAAGCCAGCAATATAGGCTACAGACACCATAGTGTAGCACCCAGACAAGAAAATGATAGGCCTTTCAGGATATCGGAATCTTTGCATGTCCACCAAGTAGGTGGTCACGGTGAAAAAAGTTGAGGCGCAGCAAAGCACTGACCAGATGAGGATCCAGACTCTGGCAAATTGTATTTCCTCTTGGCTGAAGAACATGAAACCATCATTCTTGGATGGTTCACAAGGGGCTGCACAGTCCTTCTCTCCCAAAAACCTATAGTTGAGATAGTTTGGGACCTTTAGCACTCGAGGGCAGTGAAAAGGGTGGTCAAGGGTGGCATAGATGGCTGGTCCTGGTGTTCCATGCAGCGGTGGGTTAGTAGACAAAAGAGTGGGCCCCATGTCATCTGTATGGTTCTGACCAACACAGATCTGCTCTGAACCCTGGCGAGGGAAGTTCTCACACCGCAGTCTTTCTGGCCACTGGAAGCCAAATTTGTTCATAAGGGCTTCACACCCATGCCTTGCACGCTCACATATGGACCTGCACGGAGGGATGGCCTGTTCCAGAACCGTGCACACTGGCGCATACATGGAGCAAAGAAAAAAACGAAGCTCTGAAGAACACTGGACCTTCACAAGCGGGTAGAACTGGTGGACCTCTAGACCAGCATCTTCCTGGTTGGTGTGACCCAAGAGGTTGGGCATGATGGTTTGGTTGTACGCAATATCTGTGCACAGGGGGATGGAAATGGGCTGACAAAATCCATGCTCTGGCACGGAGATGCCCTTTTCGCCATGGAGTTGGGCAGACGCCAGGAGGCACAGGGCAAGAAGGCAGCAAAGCACTTGAAGAGGGGTGACTCTAGTGACACCCTGCATAGTTGGGCAGGGGCTGACAGTATACACAAGTCCTCTTTATATTAAATCTTGCCTTTGTGGACAAATCAATGAACAGCAGTCACAAAAAAAAAAAAAAAAAATCTCCTGCAGGGCTCTCACCACTCAAACAGCACCAAGTACACTTCTGGTCTAAATGCACTCAACAGGACCTGGTGGGGTGAAACTCTGTGTCCTCAGGGGGTCACTTTTTCCCAGTTACCTGCAGTTTGGGCAGAGTTTGCATGGAGTTATCCCAGGATGCCCCCCTGATTTCTGGGGTTGTCCCAGGCCAGCTGTCCGCAGTCCCTCAGGGAGTGTGCCGGGTCTGTCCAGTCCAGCTCAGAGTGAGATCCCCGGGATCCCCAGACTGCCCCACCGCTGGTTCTGATCCGGATCACTTTCTCTTTGTGTCCCGCTTCCCTCCTCCTGACTTCTGATCAAACCGGTTTCAAGGCGCCCTCTATCCCGGGACTGGAATCTCCTCTATAGCCAACACTGAGGGGCCGCCTTGAAACCGCCCCCTCACCCCTTTCCACCAGGTTCCAGAACCCTTCCCCAAAAACTCCTCTGCACCAATCAGGAGCCGTCCTGAGCCTAAGGAGGGGGTTAGTGCTCACCCCTCTGGATAATCAGCATTATGTCTATAGATCAGGGAACTTTCCGACCCAGCCCCCATCCTATTAAGAACAACTAACCCATATCTTATTTCTGTGCTGTATAAAGTCCTAATATCGACCCTGTACACCCCCTCCTCCCCATCCATAGGAATGCAATTTAAAAAGTGCCTAAATTCAGCCAT